TTCTTAAGGTCTACTTTCATGCACGTTTGTTTTTAAATGCCCCTACAGGAAAAAATCGAAGGGGATGAGGTCCGATAATCTCGCTGTCTATTCATTTTCACCTCCTCGTCCTACTTTGGAAACTCTTCATCAAGAACAAGAAATTTCCGGACTTGTACACCAAAATGCGTTGGTGCACCATTTTGCTGGAACTAAGTATTCTGCCTGTTTGGAGTCAGCATATTTGAACTAGGAATAACCTTATCTTGTAGTGATCGTAAGTATTTGTCCGAAGATAAATTTCTCTCTATGAAGAACGGTACTATTACATTATGGCCAACAATATCTGCCCCCACGTTTATTTTCTGAGGGCGCTGAGTATGCACTTGCTCCATCAGTGAGGATAAATACTTCCGATTATTGCGAGATATTCCTAGTTTAAATGTGCTGTATCCAAACAGGGAGCATATTTGGTTTCAGCAAGATGGTGCATCAGCGCATTTTGGTGTACAAGTCCGGCAATTTCTTGATGAGGAGTTTCCAAATCGAATTTGTCTTGCAAAGATCTATCGATATCCGTAAAAATTTACAGGGTGTGTTATTTAAAATAAAAAAGTTTGCATTTTTATTGACTCACCCTGTATTCTTACATAAGCGATTTCACACTTGAATGATCCGGAGTTATTCGTTACAGAGGCATACCAATTTTAAGAAAAAAATATTTAGCCGTTTTTAAGATATCACTAATATTCCAGACTTTTTTTACACCCTGTATATCAACTTCAGGAGTCCCACAGGGTAGTCAACTTGGGCCATTGCTTTTTATATTGTTTATTAAAGACTTGTCTAACTGTGTTAATTCATCTATTGGCTTAATATATGCAGACGCAATTTGGAGGGATTTCTCAATGCTAGCGCAGGATTTCTCACAGATTTCGCGGGATTTCGCAGGATTTCGCAAAGATTTCGCGGGATTGCGTGTCGATTTCCAAGATTGCGCGCACATTTCCTGGGGGTTTTGAGGGATTTCGCAGGATTTCTACTGAATTTGTGACAGTATTGCGCAAAGTGGTTCACCCCTTGATCTGTCAAAAATCTCGTGCAAAATCAGTGCTTTTTTGTTGTGCCGACACTGATATTTTGGTTTTGGCGATATCTTTCTATTCTCAATTGAAACACCTAGGCATGGAAAATCTCTGGCTGCTCTATGGATGCTCAAAATCCCTACAATACATTCCTGTTCACTGCATTGCGGAGGTTCTTTGGTGATAGTAAAGCAGAAGCTCTATGCGGTTTTCATGCTACTGGCTGTGACACCGTATCATTTCTATCATCAAAAGGGAAACGGTCGGCGTAGAAAGCTTGGACTGCAGAAACAACATCCGCATTTCGTGCAATATCTTTCCCCTGCGATAAGTTAGAAGACCATTTCTATAGAGCACTCGAAAAATATGTAATACTACTTTAAAATGTTGAGGAGATTAATGAGCTAAGTAAGTCAGGCCAGAAAATATTTATTTGCGACCGAAAACCGCCCACTAACGCTGATTCCACTAACTGTAGGGGCTCTACATGAGCACGCATTAAGGGCAGCTTACCAGGCGGGTCACCTTTGGGGTAGAGCAGATCAGGTACACCAGCACGATCTCCCTGCATCAAGTAGCTGGGGATATAAAGATGATAAAGGCAAGTGGGTACCATAATGGTAAAAAAAAAAACATGTTTGGGAGGCATGCAGATCACTGAATACATGTGGGTGCAACACGCCATGTGATACAATGCGTTGCTCCTGCAGAAGAAACGAATTGTCCTGTACGCTTGCCTGCAAGAAGTACAAAGGGGAATGCAGTAATAAGAGGTAAACTATTCGCTCAAAATACGACTAATCCTATTCTTAATTTTTTTTTCTCTCTTGTAGCTTAACATATAAATGAATTATCCGCCCAGGAAGGCAGCTTTTTTAAGATGTTGTTATTTTCTGTGTAACGTTGCTGTAGAGCTATATCAATGACCTGTACAGATTCGAAACATATTTTTTTGGATTTTTTCAGCGAAATTCTATGTAAATTCCCATATATTTTTTCCAGATAGGTATGGTTGACATTTATGTCAAATATGACAGTAATAGAGCCCTACTGTTGGGTCCTATGAAGATGTCATATTTTTTTTCAAAGTCCTTATATTCGAATTAGTCCAAAATGACACCGATATTGGAATAATATGATAGACATTTTCAATAATTTTAACCCTTTTGAAATCGAATAGGGGTTGAACAACCCTCCTGAGGAGTGAAATTTGAGGTGCTGCGGGTTTCTCATGCCAAATTCTATATAAATCACCATAGATTTTCTCCAGATAGGTCTGAATGTAAAAAAACCTCAAAAAAACGATATTTTTGACACTTATGTCAAATATGACAGCAATAGAGCCCTACCGTTGGGTCCTATGAAGATGAGATATTTTTTTTTTAATGCCTCACATTCGAATTAGTCTAAAATGACACCAATATTGAAATAATATGATGACAGACATTTTTAATAATTTTAACGCTTTAAAAATGAAATAGGGGTTAAACCACCCTCCTAAGGGGTGAAATTTTAGGAGCTGCGGGTCAAATCTCTTAAAATAGTCTAAAAAACAACTGTGCCAAGTTCATGCTTTTAACCCAATTTGCTACGTTTTTTCGTGAACCGCACGGACTACGTTATTCTCATTAGTTTAAAAATTACACGTTTCAAGTGAATGTCTTAAGAAGCTCTTACGTAAACAGTTCAACAGTATATTGGTGAGTAGATGGCTGCGGAACTCGCTGCGCTCGTCCCGCAGAGGTCCACCTATTAGTTCCGCAATAATCCACTTATTTGTATAGGGTGTTTTTTTTAAATATATTGACCCCCACCTGCAGCCTTTACCTTTAATATATTGTGACAAATTATTCAAATACAAACGATTGGATTGTTGTGGAGCTTATGGGAGGACCCAGCCATCTATTCACCAATATGCTGTTCAAGAACGATACAAACTTGACTCACTCAAATGTGAGTTATTCTCATTAGTTAGGTGAGTATCTTATTTGAACAGTTCAACAGTATATTGGTGAATAGCTGGTTGCGGAATTTGCTGCGCTCGTCTCGCAGAGGTCCACCTATAAGTTTCGCAACAATCCACTTATTTATACTCGAACAATAACTTATTATGTATATAAAATCAGAATTTGTAAGATTATCCACTTTTTGTCAATTTGCCTTTCAACAGGAATTAGTAATGTTACTTTTCCAAACTAGTAATATATTGTGACAAGTTATTCAAGTACAAGTGGATTGTTGCGGAAATTATGGGTGGATTGTTGCGGAAATTATGGGTGGATCTAGCGATTTATTCACCAATATGTTGTTCAAATACAATACTAACCTGATTCACTCAGTTGTGAATTTTTCTCATTAGTTCAAAAACTACACGTTTCAGGTGAATGTCTTATTTGAACAGTTCAACAGTATATTGGTGAGTAGATGGCCACACATAAGTTCCGCAATAATCTACTTATTTGTACCAGGGTGTTTTTTTTATATATTGACCCCCACGGCCCACCTACAGCTTTTACCTTTAAAAGTAGAAGAAAGGTGTAAATATAAAAGTTGTACAGTTTTGGCTGAATCTTTAGAAACAATGGTCAGAAACAAAATTTGAATGTCAGAAATGTAAAATTTCGCATACTTTTTTCAAATGGGATTCCCTATATTTCATTCTATATTCTTGAAGAGCACAATGCCCTGATCTATATTTGATTGAGCAATCTCTCATATATTTTGCTCCAAAATTGTAAAAATACTATCCTACTACTGATTTTGTGAACCATTTCACCTGTACAAGTAAAATTTGAGGTACCTACTTGGCTTCACTGATAGTATTTTAAAAATTTTTAGAACCAAATATGTTGGAGACGACTCAACCAAATATCGACAAACTATATAGTTTTGGAATCGGGAAATTGTGTTTTTCCTATATTGTACAACTTTTGTATTTACACCTTTCATCTACCTATAAAGGTAACGGCTGTAGGTGGGGTGTCAATATATGAAAAAACACCCTGTACATAATCTTATTGATTTTGTATAGATATTTATTTATTAGAACAAAAAAAAAACAATACATCAACTCAACCACTAATGATATACTACTGTTTGAGGTTAAAGTTCTTGGGACAAAGACAAAAGTGTGATTTTTTTTTAGGTTTCCAGCTTTCTAAACATTCTTAAAACTTAAAATATGGTTTTGTTTTCTTTTGTTTTTAAATTTCATCATTTTATTTTAAAAAGAGGGGGGCAGTTGCCCCCTACTGTATCCGCCACTGTTACCAAGTAAATTACAGAAGAAAGTACGCAAATATGGTTGAAAGCAACAACCAACCTAATCAAAGCAATGATAATGATGAAACAAAGGATGAAATATTATTTTTGACTGGCGAGAAATTTCTAAAAGTTTAATGAACTATGAAAGTGTTTTGTAAAATTCTAAATGGTTTCCAGTAACTTCTAAATTGAACGAGAAACGAATTTTGGGGGAAATTTTTGGAGATATCTCAAAGTCGTGTCTCAAAGACATCTTGAAAACTTCGTATGTTACATAACCCAATGTCTTTCAGACGTTTGCCTAAAAATGTCTTGAAGACGTCTTTGAATGAACCTGTTTTTAATACATAAACCATTATTCACTTTCAGGCCAGCTTGTACTTAATATAGTTCTCTTCAAGATGTGACTTTTCCTATGATCATCTTCTAGACGTCTTTTTTTGGTCTTTAGACGTAATGCAGATCCAAGAAAGATGTCTTTAGGTGTGCTGTTTGGGTATAGAATATTTCATTCAGGATATTTCTAGAACATTTTTAAGGGATTTTCCGAATTCCCTAAATATTCTGTAGAAGTATATCCTGGTATAATAATTAGAAATGAATTGAATAGAATATCCGAGAATATCATAAAATTATTTATAAAATATTTCTTATAATTTTAGGATGTTGTTGGATTATTCTGAGAACATTCGCCCATATGAAAAGCTAATGGTATAAAGTAAATTTTAATTATGGTTTGGAGCGAGTCAATTAATATAATACAATTAATTCATAGGTATAACATTGAAAGTACAAAAAATATCGTCAAAAATACTTGAGCACATCACACAAAAAATTGATAAAAATACAAAACTAAAAATAGGGTTTAAAAAATATCTATAAATCTGTCTCCAGTCTTTTTTTCAGCCTTATATTAACACCGTTTTTGGAAATCAACACAGTTTCAGCAGCCAAAATCAAATCAACATTGGGAATCGCTGGCAAAAGTTCAAAATTCAGTAAAACCTTCGCTAGAATACTTTTCATTTCCAACATTGCAAATTTCTGACCTGAAATTTCAAAATATTAACACACTAATGTTGAATTAGACTTCATTAGGAAATAAGTACCTATACAATTTCTTGGCCCTGCACTGAAAGGTAAATAAGCAAAAGGCTTAATGTGACCATCCAGAAATCTTGTAGGAATAAATTGGTCAGGATTTTCATATACTTCCGGATTTCTGTTGATTGCGTAAGCCAAAATTAGCAATGTAATACCTTTTGGGATGATTTTACCATCTAAAAGATGTTTGTTTCAAACATGCATAGTTAAAATTAATAATAGATATACCTTCATAAACAACATCTTGAGTAGTACGCCTTGAATACATAGGCACCGAAGGGTACAGTCTTAAAGTTTCCTTGATTACCAGCTCCAGATATTTGAGCTCTTGCAAATCACGATAAGTTATTTGAGTTCCATCGTCAACGACTTCTCTTATTTCGTTTAATGCTTTTTCCTGGATTTCTGGATTGTTGGCTAAGCTGTACAAGGCGAAACTTATAGCTGCAGCTGTTGTATCATGACCCTAAGAAAAATTGTGAATGTATCAATCCATCCAGAAATATTCGATTTATCAAACTACTTACTGCAAACATAAAAGTATCCACTTCGTGCCTGATAAAATCATGGCTCAAAGGTTCTCCATTGGCATCTCTGTATCTCAAAAGCAAATCCAAAAAGGCCATTTTCCCTTTTCGTATATCATTATTTGCTTCATTTTCAATTTCCCTGCGACGTTTTTCTATAACACCATCAGATACTTCGTGCAATATCTTAACGTACTGTTTCTCGTTTTGATAATCTTTGCTGAAGTAATAAGACCAATTTTCCGTTTTCAATGGATTAAAGGCTCTTTCTACTACAATTTTGCACATGCCTGAAACTGCTTTTCTGTATTCATCGTGAGAGCCGCTCTGAATGTTTAGCTGAATTCCCATGGCAGTTTCTAAAATAATAACTAAATTTTCTCTAATATTTTGAGTCAATTTACTTACGACAAATAACATCCAAAGCCAAATTACTAACCAAATCATGAACATCAACAGAATCTTTCCCAACCTCCCGGCCTAAAATATCAATAAACACAGCGGAAGATTCTTCAAATTGATCGACGAATTTTTCCAAAATTTTAAAATGAAAAGCAGGAGTTATAATTTTTCGGGCCATTTTCCATTTGTCGTCGCCATCGGAAATTAACAGTCCACCTTGTAGCCAATTGTATAAAAACTGGTAGTCACTTGATTTGTTTAGGATGGTATTTCCTAACAAAAGCCATTCTACTAGTTTGTAATCTGTTATTATTATAATGGGCCTAAAAAGGAGTTCGACGAAGTAGAGGCCGTTGTATTTGAGGGCGTATTTTTGCATTGCTGATAGGGATTCTAGAAAAGAAAATTGTAAATTTAATCAAAAATTTAAAAATAGGAAATATCTTGAGGCCCCAAAAAATAACATCTAATCTATGTAATTTTCTATTGATTACAAGTTTCAATGGATACCTATACAGTTTTGTGAAATCCAACCACATTGTTATTCAAAAATGTTTTCACCCAGTAGTTATCTATTACCGCAACTAACATGATAGCAAATAATTATATGTATTAATAAATTAATGCACAAGTTCAAAGTTTAAGGACAGGGTTTGGAATGCCATATTACTACAAAACAAATTAGCAGGTTTTAATGAAATGAAAATTTTCATTGGAAACCGCTAAATTTTCAGGTTCAAGGATAACAAATCCTGAAAATTTCAGCTGATTTGGAGTTTTAGTTACAGAAGTAGAATACCGCTAAGAAAACAGGAGGAAATTCTATGGTTTTTCAATTTTTCCAATGCTTTTTTTTACATTTTGGCCTTAAATGTCATGCGATTCCAAGTAAACATGCGAGCATGAAAAAATATAAGAGCTTTTTGAACCGCTGTAGCTCTACTTTGATTCTCAGTTGGTCAAAAATCAGTTTTACACTTTCCTAGTTCAATTTTTGGCATTAAAAGCCTCGAGAAAAGAGATTTCAGTTCTAGTAAAGCACAGAATGATATGTTTACGATTTTCTAATTGAATTTCAACTCGTCAAGGATCAATTATTATGAACTTTCTGAACCATTTTAGCTCAACTTTAACTTTTAAATCGTTAAAATCAGTTTTACACTTCTTCAATTTTCAACAGAGGTTTTAGCACTTCTTAGTTCAAATTTTAGCTTTACAGCATCATCATCATCACTAATGTTCAGTTCAGTTCAGTTCAGAGCCGGCACAAATACATATATTACGAAAGTACTTGAAGTACAAGTATGAAGTAAATATATTTAAAAGATTTGCTTGAAGTCCAAGTACAAGTTTTTTAAAGTTATACTTTGATTATCAAGTAAACTTGAAATTTACTTACTCTGATCCTAATTCTATTCTGGTATCTTATCCGAGCTCTATGTTATTTATTATTTATAAAGTTATAAAAATATTAAGGTACCGGGTGTCAGGTTATAAAGTACCTACCACCACCTGTAACTTTCTTATGTACGATCAAAAATAAAAAAGTTACAGGTGGTGGTACTTTATAACTTGATCCCCTGTATTTTGGTGCTTAGTAATTTATTATATTTTGCGTTATAAAATAGGCTAGTTCGAGTGAAATTTTCTATATCTCAGCCTCAGTTCTAAAAGCCAGCGGGGCATGATTCCAAAATAGGTTCAGAGTATTTGATATTTGATTATATTTAAGCCCATACCTACAGCCTTGACTATTTGGGGTGCGGTTAGAAATTATTGCCCAGATATTCGTTGGATACTCGAGCAAATTCAAATAAATTAAATATCATTGGAAAGAGCAATAAATTCTCTATAAATCCATAAAAATTTGAGCTTGATAGCTCACATTGTTTTTGAGCAATTGAATCTCAAAGTTGGCTTTTAGAATTCATAAAAAGTAGGTACCCTTAAAAAAACTCAATTTCTTTTATTTTCTAGTTTTGCTCAATTTTGACTATACCAATCGATAGAGCGGGTCAAAATTAGTGAAGAACAATCCTGACATGATTTCCAAACGATCATTTCAAGCTGAAAAAAAATTAAAAAGGAAATCCTATTTTTGGGTGTGGAAAATTTTCAAAATCTTGACATGGTCATGAGCAATTGCCCATATCTTTATTAAATTTTGAGCGACTTGAAATAAATTATTTATCATTAGAAAGAGCAGTAAATTCTCTATCAACCGTGTAAAATTGAGTGTAATAGCTTGAATAGTTTTTGAGTATTTGAGCTTCAAATTTGATTTTTAGTCCAAATTTTGCCAAAAACTTCAAACTCAATTTACTCAAAAACCTTAAATCTGGGAATATTGAAAATTACAGGATCTTTAAATCTTAATAAGAACTACAAATGCTGAAAATTTCAATGCAATTTGCTGAACGGTTACCGAGCAATTGAGGTTTGAATATTTTGAAGTTAGAATTCAATGAAAAAATTCTTATGAAAAACTCGATTATTTTATTTTTCAGTTTTGCTTAATTTTGATTTTACCAATCCATAGAGTGGGTCAAAATTAGTGGAAACAACCCTAACATCATTTTCAAATGGCCATTTTAAGCAGAAACGAAAAGAAAAAGTAAATCCTATTTTTGGCTCTGGAAATTTTTCAAAATCTTGACATGGTCATGAACAATTGCCCATATCTTTGTTAAATTTCGAGCAAATTGAAATAAATTAAATACCATTGGAAAGGGCATTGAGTTCGATAGCTCAGAAAGTTTTTAAGTAATTGAGCCTCAAAGTTAACTTCTAGTCTAAGTCAAAAATTTCAAACTCAATTTACTCAAAACTATAAACCTAGGAATATTGTAAATTACAGGCCATTTAGAGCTACAAATGCTGAAAATTTCAATGCAATTTGCTCAACGGTTAGCGAACAATTGAGGTTTGAATATCTTGAAATCAGAATTCAAAGGGGGTAGCCTTATGAAAAACTCGATTTTTCATTTTTCAGTTTTGACCCACTCTATCGATTGGTAAAATCAAAATTAATGAAAAATAACCCTAACATCATTTCCAAATTGCCATTTTAAGCAGAAAGAAAATCCTATTTTTGGGTCTGAAAATTTTTTTGAGTAATTGAGCCTCAAAGTTAACTTCTAGTCTAAATTTTGTCAAAAATTTCAAACTCAATTTGCTCAAAAACTATAATTTTAAGAATATTGTAAATAACAGGCCATTTAGAGCCTAATAAGAGCTAAAGATCCTGATAATTTCAATGCAATTTGCTCAACGGTTACTGAGCAATTGAGGTTTGAATATTTTGAAATCAGAATTCAAAGGAAGTAAATACCCTTATAAAAAACTCGATGTTTTTATTTTTTAGTTTTGCTCAATTTTCACTTTAAAAATTAAAATAGCGGGTCCAAGTTAGTGGAAAACAACCTTGACATCATTTCCAAATGGCCAGTTTAAGCAAAAACGAAAAGAAAATCCTATTTTTGGCTCTGGAAATTTTTCTAAATCTTGACATGGTCATGAGCAATTGCCCATATCTTTGTTAAAATTTGAGCGAATTGAAATAAGTTATATAACATTGGAAAGAGCAGTAAATTCTTTATAAATCCGTGCAAAATTGAGTTTATTAGCTTGAATTGTTTCTGAGTAATCGAGCCTCAAAGTTGGTTTTTATTCAAAATTTTGTCAAAAATTTCAAACTCAATTTGCTCGAAAACTATAAACCTGGGAATATCATAAATTATAGTGTTTTTGGACTTTATTAATAGCTACAAATACTTAGGCTTCAATGTTGGATAAACTGATATTTATATCAGTGAAACAAAAATTAATAAATTAAACTTTGATTATTAGCCTATACTTTGCTAATTTATATCGCAGCTATGGATGACTGAATGTGTTTAGAATAGTTTTTATATGTAAGATAAACAGATGAGGAATCGTTTACTTAAGAAAGGGTTTGTAATTCTTTGTCTTGATGTTGAGTCAGTTCGTATAGTTATTTCTATGAGTTCACACGCTCTGCTTTCCACGCTGTGTTCGATATAATAAATATATTGAATATCGATAATTAACAAGTTCTTTTATTTCTTAGTCCATTTCCCAACATTCAATGCAATTTGTTCAACGGTTGCTGAACAATTGAGGTTTGAATATTTTGAAATCAGAATTTAAAAAGGGTATAGGTACCCTTATGAAAAACCCGATTTTTCTATTTTTCAGTTTTGCTCAATTTTACCGATCGATCGAGTAGGTCAAAATTAGTGAAAAACAACTCTGACATAATTTCCAAATGGCCTTTTTAAGCAAAAACGAAAATTAAAAGGAAATCTTATTTTTGGTTCTGGAAAATTCTCAAAATCTTGACATGGTTATGAGCAATTGCCCATATCTCTGTTAAATTTCAAGCAAATGGGAATAAATTATATACCATTGGAAAGAGCATTAAATTCTCTATAATTAAAAGTATGGGCTTAAATATAATCAAATAGCCTGTATACTGTATACAATATTCGAAAATGTTTATCATATTTTGATAGCTGTGGACTGTGGAAAATTTGCAATAATTATTATTTAAAGAAAATCAAGAAACTTATCTGTTATAAGTACCTAGGTACTCAAAATACTTCAAGCAAAATACTTGACATAATCAAGTGAAAATACAAGTTTTTTAAAATAGATATTGGAAGTACAAGTACAAGTACATAACAAAAAAAGTAATTCAAGTAAAATACTTAAAGCACTTACAAGTTATAAGATGTAGGTATGTACTTGAAAGTGGAATTTCAAGTAATTTATTTCAAATATTGATAGCTCTGGTTAAGTTATCTATTTTCTTTTCTATTCCAAATTTTCATTATTATCGTTAAAATGTATTAACTGCTCTATCTTTAGCTTCTTCTCTTTATTTAAATGATTGTATTCAGTGCAATTTTATCAGAAAAACTCGTTTTCTCATCATTTTTGGTATATCTTCCTCTTCAACAATTTTTGGTATTACTCAGAATCTTATTTCTCTTTTTACTCATCAAAATTTATTGAAATTGTTTCAGAATTCTTTTGTTTCCTCACTTCCAGATCTTCTTTCTTATGAAAATTTATTAAAGTTGCTTCGGAGTCATTTTTCTTTTCTGTTTTAACTTTTTATTATCATTTTTCTTTATTTTCTTTTTCAGCTCTATCTTCGACTCTCACAAGATGTATGGAAGTTGCTTCAGATTCTTTTTTTTTCCGTATATGTATTTCATTTATGCAAATTCGATTTTATCTTTTCTTTTGCATTTAGATGTTTCGATGTTCTTCCGATTCTTTGTTTTTTCCATTCTTATCTTGATATTAATCAGTATTTGTTACTTATTTTTCTCATGATCCATTTTGTCATTTCTTCTTCTTTGTTAAAATGTATTGTGATTCAGCTTTTTTTGAATTTTTCCTATGCTTCTCCGTTATAAGCTTGTAGTAGAGACCAGAATGAAATGTTGACAATTTTCCAATTGAATTTCAATTTTGCGTCTTGCGAGGATCAAATATAAGCTTTTTGAGCATCTCCAGCTCAACTTCAACTTTTAAATGGTCAAAAATCAGTTTTATAATTCAATTTTTGGCATAAGTAGCGCCGAGCATAACATTTTTATGCCTTATTATTTGTTTTTTTTTTTTTTTAAAACTGCTGCTAATTTGCAACTTATCAAAATGAAGATTTACCTTGAGTTCATGAACATCCCTAACTTGCTGATTTTTTCAATAGAGTTTCTATTTCCGTTGTAGATACCAACAAATTCCATCTCCCATAGGTCGTATCTCAATATGTTTTGGAATTTGTACTAATGTTTCGAGGTAAATTTTTGAATCCTTTAACATTTAATATACTTAGTAACTCATTAGGAGCAAAATATCATAGAATTTCTTTAAGTTCAATCCCTAAGGCATTTCCAATCGTTTTTGATTAGTATCGCATTGTCAAGGGATTCATCAAGTTCGGTATTCATTTTATTACAATAATCATCATCATTATCTAAGGATAAGAGCTGAAAAGCTACATTGTATGACTCTAGGGCTGACTCATGTAATTGGAAATTTAACTCATTGGAAGTTGGAGTTCCTTTTTTGGACAAAACAGAAACTCTTTCATTACAACAACTGAGTACAGCACAAAATGTTCACCAGTTTTCCAATTGAATTTCAAATTTGCGAGGATCAAAATATCAATTTTTTGAACATCTCCAGCTTAATTTCAACTTCCAAATGGTCAAAATCAGTTTTATACTTTTCTAATTCAGTTTTTGGCATCAGGAGCGCCGGGAATAAAGTTTCTATGCCTTATCAGCTCAAATTTTAGCTCTAATTATAGAGCCCAGAATGAAATTTTGACGATTTTCCAATTGAATTTCAAAACTTCGAGGATAAAATATGAACTTATTAAACATCTCCAGCTCAACTCCAACTTTTAAATGATCAAAAATCAGCTTCAGGCTTCTCTAGTTCAATTTTTGTCATTAGGAGTGCCGGGAATAAAGTTCTAATGCCTTAATAGCTCAAATTTCAAAATTGTTTTTTAGAACTGCTTTTAATATGCAATTTATCAAAATTAAAATTTAACTTAAATTCACGAACATCCCTAACGAGCTGCTTTTTTAATAAAGTTTCTGTTCCATTGTTCCATCTCAATCTCCCATAAGTTGAATCTCAATGGGTTTTGGAGTCTGTAGTAATGTTTTGCTGTTTTGAAGTGAAATTCTGAATTACTCAACTAACTCATTCAATGCAATGGGGTTTCATCCAGATTTGTATTCAATGCATTGTCAAGGGAATCATATCAAGTTTAGTATTCATTTTAATGAAATAGTCATCATCATTATCTAAGGAGTAGAGCTGGGATGCTATATTGTCTTGCTCTAAGGTCTTATACTCACGTACCTAATTGAAAATTTGAGTTGGAGTTCCTTTTTTGGACAAAACAGTCTAATAACAAATTCAAATTTAAAAACTCTTTCATTATTATTTTTTTCTTTGCAGACCGATTTTAATTTTTTAACAGAGGGAAACGACTGAGTCCAGATTAAAATGTTTACCAGTTTTCCAGTCCAGTTTTAGTCCTTTGGATAACAGAGACAGCATACATTAACATAGTTACTGTGTACCATTAATTTAGTAATTACATAGTAAATAAACACTAGTGATCAGTAAGAACGCCTCCATTTATTTGATTGGACTCCGGACATAACGGCCAGATCAATTTTTGGCATTAGGAGCGCCGGGAATAGAGTTTTTATGATTAGGAGTGCAGGGAATAGAGTTTCTCGATTTTGATGTGAGAATGTCATTATTCCCGCACGCAAAATCATTGAAAAATGAAGCTCATTCTTCAACGATTTTTGGTGACATTTGTTTTCAAAGTATACCTATAGGGCATGTCCATGTGACGTCACAAATGAGTTTGACAGTCGCCCTGAGGTAAAACAAATCATTTATTTACATTCATTTAGATTAGACCGGTTATGTTTTATGCGGTTTTCACAGATTTTTTACAAGTTTTTGTGTTATTTTTGTTCTAAAAACGATAGAGTGGAGTATTTGTGTTCCAGTCTATGTGGTCTTTTATCTAAAATTTTGCTGGGTTTTCTTATAATGGATTAATTTCAGGTTTTTCCCAACAAATATCAAAACCAAGTGTCACAAGAAGAAATATATAAGTATAGTTACTCTATATTCAATCTATTTTTCTGTTAGATCTTCTCTTTTAAGAACTTTAATCAATTTTTCTCTTCTTTTTTGAGCTAACAAATCAAACCGCCCATTGTTATTTGAAATTTATCCCTTGCACTATACTGCCACAATTAACAACTAAACAAACTCTAGGCATGTCCAAGAAATCTCTGGATCACACAAAAGGTACTTATTTAAAAAAAAATCTAACTAAAAACTTAAAAAACACTGTAAATTATATCTTTGTTTTACCTCAAGGAGACTGTCAATAGTGTCAAACTGTCAGATCGTGTACTTGCCCTATTGGTACCTTCAAAATTGTCAAACCAATGGTCAAACCTTTTAAAATAATGTCATCCATCTGTCAGTTGGTTAATAAGTAAGTGTCACCAACTGATATATTTTGCAAAAAAAATATCCCCAACTAACAGCGACCATAAAAAATATTAGCTCAAATTTTGATATGATCTTCTTAGAACACTTTAGCTCAACTTCAACTGATCCGATATAAGCGTTTTACCCTTCTCTTACTCTTGTTCAATGTTTGGCATCAGATTCCAAAATTATTAGGAATAAGTATCCCCACTATTCTATAAATAGTTCCATAAAATCGATTTAATTTGTTTTTTCTCCAAACGTCAAAAAAACGTCACTTTGTTAACTCCTGTCAAAATGTCAGAAATTTGATTTCTATGCTGCTAGGCAAATCCAGCGGGTTAACACCTGTCGAGGTGGTAGAAATTTAATTTCTATGCTGCTAAGCAACCGCAGCGGCAGTAGAAGTACTTTTAACGCCGCTGGAGCGGCAGCAAAAGTACATTTAGTGCCGCTCGTACTTTTACTGCCGCTCAACCATTCACTTGCCCCCGAACTCTCCCCATTCGTTTGGAGAAAAAAAAATAGCGTGTTGCATACGGAGTAGAAGCACTTTTTTGTGCCAGAAAAGTAAAGCTTCTACTCCTAATATAACAATATACTATTTTTCCTGTCAATATTTCAACATGGAAACATTTTTGTACTTAAGTCCTTGAATGTAAACTTCTAAAAATTATGAAAAATCCTGGGAATAATCAGATTTCAAATTGTTTCAGTAGGTAGAAGTTCATTTTTGAGCTTTTTACTATAGAACCGAAATTTAACTGGAAAACCTTAAAAGTCTTATCTTTGGTTCTCCTAGAGCGCAAATTAGGAATAGAGAAGCCTCGACTCCACAAAATAGGACATAGGTGTTGCCACTTTGGGCAGAAAAATTCAACAGAGAACCCAAATTGAACTTGTGAAGCCTAAAATTCTGATTTTTGACAGCTGTAGCCTTAAAATTGTTGCAAAGAAGGTTGAACAGCTAATTTTTCAACTTGTTATAGCATATTCCCGGCTCTTCTAGAGCTGGAATTTAAATAGAGAAGTGATTTTTTGATGATTCTAGAATTCAAATTGAGCTAGTGTTAAATTTAGGCTTTATAGAGCCAACATTCTTGAGAAATGAGAATCTTATCTTCCTAGAGCTGAAATTTGAACTAGAATTTAACATTTTGATTGAATCGGCTTTTACTTGGTGGAAATCCATTATCTAATAAAAGATTTTTTAAGTAAATTTTAATACTTATATATTTCCACAATTTTTTGTTAAACTTTTAACATGTTTCGCTAAACTTTAGCTTCATCAGAAAGATTTTAGAAAAATAAAATGTAGACATAAAAGTGAAATTGACAAATATAAAAAAGGTAAAAGCTGGTCTAATTTTATGTTAATTTAAATAGGTATTACACAGTAAATAAATTTAAAAGTGGTGAATTGTTTAAATCTAATTGGTAGCATATATGCTAATCACCTGATAGAATCAAATCATAATTTTAATAATGAATTTCAAATACTACATAATGAAAACAAAGGGATAAAATTAAATCTTCTAGAATCTTTAGAAATAAACAAACTTAAAACTTTAGACTGTTTATTGAACGACCAATTAGATTTAAACAATTCACCACTTTTAAATTTATTTACTGTGTAATACCTATTTAAATTAACATAAAATTAGACCAGTTTTTACCTTTTTTATATTTGTCAATTTCACTTTTATGTCTACATTTTATTTTTCTAAAATCTTTCTGATGAAGCTAAAGTTTAGCGAAACATGTTAAAAGTTTAACAAAAAATTGTGGAAATATATAAGTATTAAAATTTACTTAAAAAATCTTTTATTAGAATTTAACAGTTCCAGAGGACAATCCCGCTAAAAAAAGAGGATAAAATTGCATGATTTTAATGCTGCTCTTTTTTCAAGGACTTTCTTCATAATTCATACCATTATGGATATAGGGCAGTTCCAAGCTCAAATTCAAAATCTCAACATAAGAAAAAATTGAAATCTCAACATTTTTGTACTAAAGTTTTGCTGCTGGACACACTTTTCTAGTAGAACAGTGAAACTGCCTTTAATAGGTATAACGCGTACATACACTAAAATAAAAACTACATGATAAGAACTTACTAGTTGAATCAGCGAACTCCCAAGCATTTCCAATAAACGGTACCGCAGGCACGGCTTTCACCCATCGCAATTTCCTCTCGAAAACAATGCGTCTAATAACCAAACGCGTAATTAGTACCACCAAAACGGCAATCAAAACGTACAGTACAGTACCTGCCATACCGAAATTCGTACTAAACAAATTTTATAGAATTAAAATAAATTTTATTTTCGCCGAGTGCAACCGGCGATGATTGTACCTTGAGTACTTGTATTTGAAGGACGTCTGCTAAATTTTTCGTTTTTTATGTGTGTGTGTGGTAATCTTGAATATTGTCGCGTTAAATAATGGACGCACTTCTTATGCAAGTATAAGTGCAATCTTGCAAAATCTTCTGGAACTGTTTTTAATGAATTTGGAATTTGCCTTAGCATAATGATAATGATAAAATAAACACATTAGCATTATTGTATATTTTGCAGATTAGGTTTTATCAATGGTGTGAAGTTATTTATAAATTCCTATAACTGCATATACAATAATTTGAATATTAATTTTTTGACATTTTTCTTTAAGGACACTGAGATTTCAAAGCTAATAATTTTGAACTTGTAGATGTTCCAGGTATTTTTTTACATATTAAGCAAAGGCTTTAGGTTCAACATTCTAAAATTTCATAAAGAAAAGGCCAAGCATAAAGAAATTGTGATTTTTCAAAGCTGAATAATATGATAGTTCTACAATATATTACATCTACATGCATTATCCATTTTCCCTTTATAATTTTGAGTTTGCGGATGTTCCAGGTATTTTTCTACATATTGAGCAAGGATTTAGCTTCAACGTTCTAAAATTTCATAAAGAAAAAACCAAGAATAAAGAAATTGTGCTGATTAACATGGATAGTTCTTCAATACCTATAATACATCTTCATGCATTTTCCATTTTCCCTTTAAGTATAATTTTGAGTTTGTTAATGTGGCAGATATTTTTTTACATAAGCAAGCAGGTTTTAGCTTCAATATTCTAAAATTTCAAAAAGAAAAAACTAAGAATAAAGAAATTGTGCTGATTAACATGGATAGTTCTACAATACCTATAATACATCTACATGCATTTTCCATTCTCCCTTAAAGTATAATTTTGAGTTTGTGAATGTGTTAGATATTTTTTTATATAATTTTTTATATAAGCAAGCAAGATTTAGCCTCAACAGTCTAAAATTTCATAAAGAAAGAGCCAAGCATAAAGAAATTTTGATTTTTCAAAGCTGAATAATATGATAGTTCTACAATATAGACATCTTATCAATGGTGTGAAGTTATTTATAAATTCCTATAACTGCATACAATAATTTGAATATTGATTTTTTGACATTTTTCTTTAAGGACACTGAGATTTCAAAGCTAATAATTTTGAACTTGTAGATGTTCCGGTATTTTTTTACATATTAAGCAAAGGCTTTAGGTTCAACATTCTAAAATTTCATAAAGAAATTGTGATTTTTCAAAGCTGAATAATATGATAGTTCTACAATACCTATAATACATCTACATGCATTATCCATTTTCCCTTTATAATTTTGAGTTTGCGGATGTTCCAGGTATTTTTCTACATATTGAGCAAGGATTTAGCTTCAACGTCCTAAAATTTCATAAAGAATAAACCAAGAATAAAGAAATTGTGCTGATTTACATGGATACTTCTACAATACCTATAATACATCTTCATGCATTTTCCATTTTCCCTTTAAGTATAATTTTGAGTTTGTTAATGTGGCAGATATTTTTTTACATAAGCAAGCAGGATTTAGCTTCAATATTCTAAAATTTCTAAAAGAAAAAACCAAGAATAAAGAAATTGTGCTGATTAACATGGATAGTTCTACAATACCTATAATACATCTACATGCATTTTCCATTCTCCCTTAAAGTATAATTTTGAGTTTGTGAATGTGTTAGATATTTTTTTATATAATTTTTTATATAAGCAAGCAAGATTTAGCCTCAACAGTCTAAAATTTCATAAAGAAAGAGCCAAGCATAAAGAAATTTTGATTTTTCAAAGCTGAATAATATGATAGTTCTACAATATAGACATCTACATGCGTTATCCATTTTCCCTTTATAATTTTGAGTTTGCGGATGCTCCAGGTAAATTTTTGTACATATTGAGCAAGGATTTAGCTTCAGCATTCTAAACTTTCATAAGGAAAGAACCAAGAATAAAGAAATTGTGCTGATTAACATGGATAGTTCTACAATACCTATAATACATCTACATGCATTTTCCCTTTAAGTATAATTTTGAGTTTGTGAATGTGTCAGATATTTTTTTATATAAGCAAGCAGGATTTAGCCTCAAAAATCTAAAATTTCATAAAGAAAGAGCCAAGCATAAAGAAATTTTGATTTTTCAAAGCTGAATAATATGATAGTTCTACAATATAGACATCTACATGCGTTATCCATTTTCCCTTTATAATTTTGAGTTTGCGAATGCTCTAGGTAAATTTTTGTACATATTGAGCAAGGATTTAGCTTCAGCATTCTAAACTTTCATAAGGAAAGAACCAAGAATAAAGAAATTGTGCTGATTAACATGGATAGTTCTACAATACCTATAATACATCTACATGCATTTTCCATTTTCCCTTTAAGTATAATTTTGAGTTTGTGAATGTGTGAGATATTTTTTTATATAAGCAAGCAGGATTTAGCCTCAAAAATCTAAAATTTCATAAAGAGCCAAGCATAAAGAAATTGTGATTTTTCAAAGCTGAATAATATGATAGTTCTACAATATAATACATCTACATGCATTATCCATTTTCCCTTTATAATTTTGAGTTTGCGGATGTTCCAGGTATTTTTCTACATATTGAGCAAGGATTTAGCTTCAACATTCTAAAATTTCATAAAGAAAGAACCAAGAATAAAGAAATTGTACTGATTAACATGATAGTTCTACAATACCTATAATACATCTACATGCATTATCCATTTTCCCTTTAAAATTTTGAGTTTGTGGATGTGCCAGATATTTTTTTACATAAGCAAGCAGGCTTTAGCTTCAGTATTTTAAAATTCCATAAAGAAAGAGCCAATAATAAAGAAATTATGATTTTTCAAAGCTGATTAATATGATAGTTCTATAATATAATACATCTACATGCATTAGGAATCCATTTTCCCTTTATAATTTTGAGTTTGCGGATGTACAAGGTAATTTTTCTACACATTGAACAAGGATTTAGCTTCAACATTCTAAAATTTCATAAAGAAAGAACCAAGAATAAAGAAATTGTGCTGAATAACATGATAGTTCTACAATACTCATAATACATCTACATGCATTTTTCATTTTCCCTTTATAATTTTGAGTTTGTGGATGTTCCAGATATTTTTTTACATAAGCAAGCAGGCTTTAGCTTCAACATTCTAAAATTTCATAAAGAAAGAACCAAGAATAAAGAACTTGTGATTTTTCAAAGCTGATTAATATGATAGTTCTACCATATAATTTAGCATCTACTTGCATTTTCCATTTTCCTTTATAATTTTGAGTTTCTGGGCGTGCCAGGTATTTTTCTACATATTAAGCAAGGCTCTAGTTTCAACATTCCAAAATTCGATAAAGAAAGAGCCAATTATAAAGAAATTATGATTTTTCCAAGCGGATTAACATGATAGTTCTACCATAATAAATACAACATCTACTTGCATTTTCCATTTTCCCAGCTATCTTTCTACATATTAAGCAAGGCTTTAGCTTCAATATTCTAAAATTTCATAAAGGAAGAGACAAGCATAAAGAAATTGTGATTTTTCAAAGCTAATCAACATAATAATTTTATCATATAATACAACATCTACTTGCATTTTCTGTTTTCTCCTTGTAATTTTGAACTTGTGGATGTGCAAGGTATCTTTCTACATTTTTAGGCAAGACTTTAGCTTCAACATTCTAAAATTTTATGCAGAAAGAGCCAAGCTCAATTCCTATAATCAATTAAAAAAAACTACAACTAAATCAGTGGCAATCAAATTAAAATTTTTCTTCCTTCAAAAAAAGACCTTGCAAGACAAAATATACAATCAATCTCAGACCCTCCGGAATAATAATAGGGCGCCAGGTGTGCCCATTAACAAAGTTTAATGATTTCGATTTTTTTTCTTCTCATTATTATTCCATCAGGCATTCTTGTTTTCTTTTCTCCTTTAGGGTATCTTGACAATTTCAATCAGGAACTTCCAAAACATACATAATTAAGGATGGATGGGTTAACTCACTGATGGAAAACTACATTTGAGAATTTTATTTCTTTTGTTGAAGGAATAAAGGATGATAAACATTTTGATATTATGCAAAGTCACACCAACTTTATAGTTTTTGCTGCTAAAGAGAAATTAATCTTATAACTAGAAAACAGCAATTTGGATGTACTCATCTTAAAGTTATAAGTCTGTAATTTTGAAGCTGTTTCTTCAGTTTAAATAAGAGACTCTTTTGGTTCTGAACTAACGTCAGCGATTTTTAGAGAATAATGCCCTGACATGCGTAAAAGCAGTCAGAAACTTATAATTCTGCTCCTCAATATGAGCAAGATACCTACTTAAAATTTCAAAAATATCCCTTATTCTAGATTCATATGGTCCTACAAATAAATTCTCATTAATTAATAAAACCGCAACAAACAAAGCAAATAGATAATGGGAAAGAAAACAATAATTCCAGTGAGAACCCGACACTGCGGTTGCAGTTATCTAAGAATTTTAATATAAAAACTCACTAGTTGCAGTATTGTGTCATATTACCTAAGACATTCAGTGTAGGTGATACCTCCAGTTAAAAACTTTAAATAATTTTTGATTGCGTTGAAAACAAAACCAGCAAAATGTCTGATAAGAAAAACATTCTTTTGCTCTTCGACCGCCCTCAAGAACCTGCATTTATGCCTAAAGGCGATCAGAAGAAGGCCTTTGCAGTTCCACCAGAGTATTTGGTAAGAATATTTGAAGTTTTTTAATATTTTCTAACAGTTTTATTTTTAGAGCGAAAAATACAAGCCAATCGGAAACCAAGTGACCAGCCGTTTCGGCGAAGAAGCTTCTGAAAGGATTCCAGTCAGTCGCATCACTCCTCCTCCTCTAGGAGAAATTTTAGAGCTTCCAAGAGACTCCAACTTTTCACTGTTCATCCCTAAACATCGCAGATTAGCAGGAAGGCTCATCGATATCTTTTTGGGCGTCCGCAATGTGGACGACTTACTATCTGTAGCAGTTTACGCCAGAGATCGTGTCAATGCTTACCTTTTCAACTATGCTCTATCAGTGGCCCTGCTTCACAGAGCAGACACTCAAGATTTGGATGTACCTTCTATAATTCATTCATTTCCTGATAAATATTTGGACAGCAAAGTTTTCGCCAAAGCTCGAGAAGATGCTACTGTTGTTCCAGAAGGATCCAGAGTAAGAATCTTTTGTGGTTTTTCTTTTTAATATTTGAAACAAATTTATTTATTTTAGTTACCTATTGAAGTCCCAAAAGATTATACAGCTTCAGATTTGGAAGCTGAACACCGTCTAGCTTACTTCAGAGAAGACATCGGCCTCAATCTCCATCATTGGCACTGGCATTTGGTTTATCCATTCGAAGCTGCCAGATCTATTGTAGCCAAAGACAGGAGAGGCGAGTTGTTCTATTACATGCACCAGCAAGTCATTGCTAGATACAATTTTGAACGTCTCAGCAATGGCATGAAACGAGTCACTCGTTTTCTGGATTGGGACGCGCCAATCGATGAAGCTTATTTCCCAAAGCTGGACAGTTTAGTAGCTAGCAGGGCGTGGCCAGCTAGAGTCAGCAACCAAAGATTGCAAAATGTTAACAGGGAAGCTGATGGGATTAAGCTTGATGTTGATGATATGAAGAGATGGAGGGATAGGATTTATGATGCTATTCAATCTGGAATGGCTAGAGATGTATGTAATTTTATTAGAAGTTTCGTTGCAAATTAATTGGATTATTTGGTTTTAGAGATCCGGTCGCCAAATTCCTCTTACCGAAAATGAGGGCATTGATATTTTAGGAAACATGGTCGAATCTAGTATTCTATCAGTGGACAGAGACTTTTATGGAGATCTCCACAATACTGGCCATATTTTGATTTCATACATTCATGACCCTGATCACAGACACTTAGTGAGTAATTTAATCAATTTATCTAATAAATTATTACTAATACAATATTTTAGGAATCATTCAGTACCATTGGAGACTCAGCTACAGCCATGAGAGACCCAATCTTCTACCGCTGGCATGCATTTATCGATGATCTCTTCCAGAGATTTAAAGGAACTTTACCAAGATACTCAGAAAATCAGGTAAAAGATTCTAAATTCCAATGCTACAATGTATTAATATAAATTTCCATAGTTAAACAATCCAGGTGTAACTGTGCAAAGTGTTAATGTAGATGTCCAAGGCGGACAACAAAATGTTTTGCAAACTTTCTGGCAACAATCTGACGTCGATTTATCCAGAGGTATGGACTTCCAACCACGCGGATCTGTATTTGTACGGTAAGATTTCGACTTATAAACTAAATAGTTGCAACATAACAATTTTTTTTTTGCAGATTTACTCATCTCCAGCACAGGGCTTTCACCTACAAAATCAATGTGCAAAGTAATCAACCTCGCGAAGGAACTTGCCGTATTTTCCTAGCACCCAAAACAGACGAGAGAGGCAATCCTTGGCTGTTGAGAGACCAAAGGCTCATGTTTATCGAATTGGACAAGTTCAAAGTTGTTTGTGAGTATTCAATTTCGTATCTAAATACTCTGTTCTTATATATTTTTATTTCAGTGAAACAAGGCCAAAACACCATCACCCGCAATTCAATCGATTCCTCAGTAACTATTCCATTTGAAAGGACTTACCGTGACTTGGACACTTCACGTCCTCAAGGAGGTGAGCAGTTGTCCCAATTCAACTTCTGCGGTTGCGGATGGCCTGACAATCTGCTAATTCCCAAAGGAACTCCCGAAGGACTTCCTTGCCAATTATTCGTGATGATTTCTAACATCGAAGGCGACAGAGTGAGTGACTTTTTCCTTAGACCACAGGCAAAATTCATTGACTTTTGTCTACTTCCAGATTAACCAAGACGCTTCTGGACAATGCAACGATGCCGATTCGTACTGCGGTATCAAAGACAAATTGTATCCGGATCGTCGTTCCATGGGTTATCCGTTCGATAGAGTGCCAAGAGACGGAGTCGACACTTTGGAGCAGTTTTTGACCTCTAACATGCGGGTTCAGGATGTCAGTATTCAGTTCCAGAACAGGACCTTCAAGCCACGCAATTGAGGCAAAACTGTAGATTGGATTTTGGGATTTTTATCTGAATTAAGCACGAATTATTGGGAAATTAATAAATGATATTAGAAGTATATTTTTATTTAATTTTTTTGCATTCTCTACCTATTCATTCAATAAATACATTGTGTCCTAAGAGCTCTATGAGAAAAAAGGCTGACTTTATTGAAAGCTTATTCAAAAGGACCTAAATATCACCCTGCAATCCATAAACCAGCAAAACTGCATCTAAGAATCTAGAATTTAATTCTTCTTGTATTTTCAAAAAACTTTAAAATTAAAAGAAACTGATGTTTTACTGCTTTACAAAGTTCAAGCAGCATGCAAGCTGAGAACATTGCAGATATGTTTTGATAAAAAAAAAAATAATCTTATTTAAATCGTAATTTACTTAGCAATAGTCATCTAAATATTATGTAAATACTGTCAAACCGATCCTATAACGTGCTGATTTATGTAGCACAAATATTTTATGGATTCCCAGAAATTTTAGTGCTGATTTTGATTAGTGAGGTGATGAATAATCTAGCTAAAGAAAAGTACTGTAAACATTGTAAGAAAAGTGTGAAATTTTCCATTAACTGTGATTTTTGCCCATCTAACTATCATCCTAGTTGTGCAAAACAAGATAAAACTGAATATGTAAACTGTTGTCAGCCTTCAGAACCTGTAATAAGTGACTCGTGTACAAGGTATGAGAAGAAAATTAGGTCTATATTTGGGGAAATGTTATCTGGGTATCTTGTCCCGTTTGAAAAGGGGGTAGAAAAAAATTTTGAAGAACTTAAAAAGACAACTGAACGTATATCAAATTCAGTTCAAAAGCATCTATGAAGGCATCCATAGGCAAAGTTATCACCGAGATTCAATTATTGACAACTGAAAATAAAGACCTAAAGGCAAAGGTCTATTTACTTGATGGTAGGCTGCGTACATTTGAAGAATAAGAGTATACAGCAATGGAAAACTTGATCCACGAAATCAGTGAACGCTCGATAAGAGCAAATAATATAATGGTTTTCAATATATAAGGATCAAACTCACCCTCTCTGCAAGAACGAATAGAGTATGATAAGACGTAAATTGGAAACATATTTGGGAAGCTTGACCTGCTTGACCTTGTTCAAAAGATTGTCCGAGTGGGAAAATCAAGAGCTGCAGCAAATACTAGGTCTCGTCCTGTAAGAGTGATTTGTGTAAATAGTGAAGTGGTTGGCAGAGTGCTTCGTAATAAGCATAAAATGCAATCAACTCGAATAAGCATTGATAAAGATCTCAGCAAGCCACAGCAAGAACTAACCAAAAAAGTAAGAGATGAACTTAAATCTAGAAAAAGCAACGGCGCGAAAACGTCATTATTAGGTATATCAAGGGTCAGCCTGTGATGGTAGCATCAAATAATGAACGAAAAAACCTCTAACTTCCTCATTATCTGTCTATTATAGGTACATGAATGTGGGCTGCCTTCGTTCTAAATTGGGCGAACTTATAACTGCAATATCCTGTACAACATATGATATAATTTTTGTAGAAAGTAACCTATGTCAAGGAGTCAATGACAAGTAGGCAATTTCGCCCCAGATTTTCATCTGCTGTTTGGTAGGCGAATGGTTAACCAATTGGTACGTAAGTGACGTAGCTCAAAAATCTCATCCGAATTCAGTGGATAGGGCGTTTGGTACATTTTGACTTTGACATGTTTATTTGGACATGAGAGAAAAAGAAACAGAAAGCTACCAAACCTCCACTACCCAGTCAAACCACGGTATAGCAAGCATTGAGTGAAACAACTGTTTATTCAGTGCCAAATAGGAAAATGAAAATTCATCATTGGTGGTGTCCCGCCAGCTCAACCAAATGCCATCTACTTATGAGTTGCATTGCTAGGCTGCCGATGAGATATGTCGTACGTATAATGGACATTCAATTTTACTGTGTGGAGACTATAATTTGCCTTAAGCCTCGTGGTCCAATGATGATTTTGGTGTTCAGGTTGAATGTCCATTGAGTTCAAATGCACTTAGGTACATTTGCAGAATACTTTAGTTTTCTTTAACTGTATCGAATAAACACAATACCAAATAATATAGGACAGTATTTTTAGATTTAGGCTGTGGTCCGAATATAACCAGGATTGTGGTTTCGCGGTCCAAAAGTTATCAAATTACTCTGGTTCCTGGAAAAGAGGTTACTTTTGTATGTATTATTATAGACCGGTGCATAACGACCATTTTTTCAAAACGATTTTCTCCCGTCTGCCATTAAGGGTGGTTATTCTTTATGCAGTAAGGAGTGGAATGGCTGAAATTTCAAAGAGCCCCGCGTGTGACAATACAATGATATGCTAATTTGAAAATGTAATGAAAAGTGGAGATGTGGATCAATATTATCCCGTCTGCCACACATTGTGAAGGTAATTTTAACAAAAATGAGTAGAAGGATGCTAAATGGCGGAAACCCTGGGTTTAGTAAAGTCCGACAAATACCATTTTAAAGTCACGTGATATTGGTGGCAAAAACCGTATGTTCATTGATTATGTCGTTGATATCACCTACAAAAAGCTACTGGTGGTTAATTACTATTGAATTTTAGGATATGTTCCCACTAGCATTTTACAAACGCGTTTCTGAAGTAGTATTGACCAATCAGATAGGAATTTTAATACTTGCAATTGTTGCGAGACTCACTTTTGTCGCTTCTGCTGCCCCTTGTAATACATTCTGAACTTCAATTGGGTACCCGTTTTCTATTTGCGTCTTTTCGAGTTGGAAAAAGGTTAATATAGTCAAAATTATTAGCTGTGTTTGTTCTTTGTATCATTTTCGAAAAAAACTTTGACAAACTAATTGATGACAGTGACGGATTCTATTTCAGGTAAGAATTTTATGAACAATAATTAGACACCAATTTTTTTGTCAATTTTACTATCACCGCTGTTTGAGATGTATTCAACAAGGATAGAGAAAAATCACGTGACTTTAAAATGGTATTTGTTGGACTTTATAAAGTGTCATATTACTAAACTCAAAATGTCACCAAAATCGGACATGTGGATCAACGACCTCCCGTCTGCCAAATTAAATTTATGTTACATTTACGATGTAATACATCAATAAGTAAATGGCAGAAAATCTCGGTTGGTATAATAATATTTAACAATTTTTGAAGTTGTATCAAAATGCTGAGATGTTGAAACAATTTTCACCCATCTGCCATTTGGAAGATAAGTTTGACATGCAAAGTAAAATCCAAGAAATATATTGGCAGATGCATCCAAGGCATAATAACAATTGGCAGAAACAATAAAAATGTCAAAATTTTTCAAAGTTGAGATCAATTTTTTCCCTTCTGCCAATAATTTATATTAAATTAGCTACTACTGAAAGCCTTAATTTCGACTAGCAGAAATTGCAGGCTGATACAAGTTCTCATAATTTATTAACAAAATTGGAACAAAAATTGTTCATATCATGAACGTTTTTAACCCGTCTGCCGTTTGTTTCAGTAAAAAGTAGTTATGGGAATATGCATAATCTCAATATGGCAGAAACTTCAATGAGCTACATATGTTGCACAATTATTGTTAAATTGCTAAGAATGTTTATGTGTCCAAACAATGGACCTTTTGCACTCAATCAAAATTAGGTATATAATTTATCTGTAACGAAAGTGTATTTTATGTAGGTACTACATAAAAGTATGGTTGGTTAATTTTTTAAAAAATCTTGAAGCCAGAAATTGGAAGAAAAATAAGCAGATTATTTGAATTTTGTGCCATATTTTTGCACAATCAAAAATCACTGATTGATAAATTTCCATGTACCAAACGATTCATTTTTTTTTTCTTTTCTAACACATCGGACAAAAAAGTAGACATATATAAAGGGTGACACAAGGAATAGGGAACAACCTATAAATTATTTATTATATAAGTTGAAAATTTGAAATTTGGGGAGCTTAATCGAGGCAACTTTTTGGTTTTTTAGAAGTAAATTGCGTTACCAGTCACTTCCGGTTAAACCAAATTTTCAACTTATATATTGAAAAAGTTATAGACTGTTCCCTATTCCTTGTGTCACTCTGTATATCAAAATCGTTTTGTATATCGACTTTGGTACAGCCCTACTTTTGACTCGACTAGTATTGACAATTTTCTTTCCTTGTCTATAAATGCGAATTAAACAAAGAAATCGATATCTGTACTAATCCGGCCAGTATAAAGCAGGACGCGCACTGAATCGACTCGGACCGGTCGACTCGGCGAAGAGCAGTCGGCAGTTTTTGATACTCATGCAATTAAATGAGGCTCAGTAAATGTGTTGCGCAGTGTTGTCGAACGTCAAAATACTAAATCGGGAGAAACTAACGTTGAGAATCGATAGATTACAGCGCAAAATCGGTAGGTATAACACAAGGATAATACACACTACTAAGGATTGCTTATCGGCATCGATTTCGGTAATCGCGGCCATATTAGTGTATCACCATTACGGACGTCATTAACTAACTCGTCAGCTGTTTGCGCCAGCGGTCCTAATAGTTTAGAATTTAAATTTATGTATAAAAATATCATTTAATTTTGAATAACTTAATAGGCAAAAAGGAAGATGCAAACGAGATCTGAACAGGAGTTCTTATTGTTAATAATGTAGTAAGACCGAGTACGGTATGCATAAGGTAAAAGACCGCAGAATCATAACCTGTGATGCAAACAGTGCCTATGTCAATACGAGAAACGACGTGCTGCCTACGTCACAACTGGTGATTTGGCGTAGTGGGGGGCTTTAGATTTGTTCTACACAGGTCTTATGAGGATATGCTATTCTGTAGTTGTAGTGTGTATTATTCTTGGGTATAACCAGTGAGTATAACATAAAAACTAAAATCCAGCCGTGCTTTCCTTTAAGCTTTCTATTTCGTTGAGTATGAAAAAGTTCAGTGATTGTTTCCGTGGAAAGTCTATCTCTTTGTACTGTTTTCATTTTATTTATTGCTGAGAATGTGCGCTCAGCACCGGCGGAAAAATGGGGCAATAACAAGATATTAAAAACAAATTCGAATATCACAGGACCCACAGGTATTCTCCAATGAAAAAATCGGCGAAAACAAAACCGATAAAATTGATTTTTTGGCAGAAAACGGTAAAAAAATCGGTAGAAATTCATCAGTATTCTGTATTTCGGTAGGTGCGTTGCCATTTTGGTAGAAATACCGAAATTTCGGTAGATTTGACAACACTGGGTTGCATCGACACAAAATCCAAGTCTAAACGCGAAACTGGGTTTTTGACATCAGTTTGTCACAACAAATTGATCTCAAAAATCGGGTATTGCGTTAAACATGGAATTGTGTTGGTGCAACATCCCATTAATGTGTGATAGGCATTGAAAAAAAATTATAACGTATGTGAGATTTCAAACATTTGTACATAAGCAGTCATTTTGCCTTTTGTACATTATTTATCTAAAATCCATTGCAACAAAACATGTTTTAGGCGGGAGAAAATTGTTTCAACATCTCAGCATTTTGATACAACTTCAAAAATTGTTAAATATTATTATACCAACCGAGATTTTCTGCCATTTACTTATTGATGTATTACATCGTAAATGTAACATAAATTTAATTTGGCAGACGGGAGGTCGTTGATCCACATGTCCGATTTTGGCGACATTTTAAAATTAGTAATATGACACATTATACTAACCTAGGGTTTCCGCCGTTTAGCTTCTTTGTACTAATTTTTCTTAAAATTACCTTTACGATGTGTGGCAGACGGGATAATATTGATCCACATCTCCACTTTTCATTACATTTTCAAATTAGCATATCATTGTATTGTCACACGCGGGGCTCTTTGAAATTTCAGCCATTCCACTTCTTATTGCATAAAGAATAACCACCCTTTATGGCAGACGGGAGAAAATCGTTTCAAAAAAATGGTCGTTATGCACCGGTCTATTAGACTCAGTTGTCAGAACGGCAAATGACATTATATTTGTAGCTAGTAATCATCACATATGAGTATATTTATCACCTTCAAAACAAGTCCAATGACAACTTAGTTGTGGTGGATTATTATTATGATTTTAGGAATGCTGACTTCATAGGCTCAAATAATCTTCTTGCATCAATGCAGTGGGAAACGCTGTTTTCTGCATCAGATTTAAATATGTCAACAAAAATTTTCAATAGTAATATAACAAGTGCAATGGAAATTATCGATAATTTTTGAGAAATTTGCCCGAATTTTTAGTTGAAAAAGAGCACGAGTGCATTTTTCAGTTAAAAACGCATGAGTGCAAATTTGTCGAAAATTATAGATATATTTCCATTGCACGAGTTGTATTTTATGAGAGAATTTCATGAATCAAAAATTTAAATTTTTTGTCAAAAAATGTCAAAACACCAGTTCTCGCACCAGGTAGGTACTATGCAATTACCTAACTGATAATTTGCACTAGTGCTAATTATCACGTAATTCCAATCTGATTGATTCAAATCAACAATCAGAACATGTCAGTCTATTGTTAGAATGTCAGTTTTGACAGATGTATGAAATTCTCTATGAGATATTGGCAGTGGCGTAGCCAGCCTTGCGGGGAGGAGGGGGCAAACACATAAGGGGCGCATAATTTTTTTGCGGGGGGGGGGGGGCGGGAGAAGATAACAAATGAATGTTTGTACTTTGTTTGTATGCTTTTGTATGATTTGCTTATTGAGGGAAAATATTAAAGAGGAATGGGGACAGAACGGGCGCCGCCGGAGGCGAAAAATTTCCTTGGGTGCTACGCCCGAAAAAGTTTATTTCCTTCAAAAACATTTCTTTTTTCGGGTGCCACGGTGCCACGCCGAAAAATATTTATGTATTTTAATCCCTACAAGAAATAATGTGTGGACATGTCGTTAACTTCAAAAAATCCTTCCGAACGCCTTGAAAACTAGAACAAATCCGGGGAAATCCGGACGGAGGACAGCCCCATCCAACCCATTAACCTATAGTTTAATGAACAAATACTATCAAAACAGAAACTATCTCCTTTCCTTCATGCTGACTTACGATAAAGAATGAAGGGTGAAGAGGTCAGTAAGATAAATAAGAAACAGCATAATTTTATTTCTTATTTTATGCTTTTGTTTTTTAAGAGCGGTAGGGGCGCCATACGTGTAGGGGCGGGGGGGCCGTCGCCCCCCCTGCCCCACTACTGGCTACGCCACTGGATATTGGAGGAAGCAATAGCCCACTTTGTGTCACTGACAAAATCAAAAACGTCCTACTTTCCCAAATGGTTCAGCCCAGAATTGAGACATCTTACTAACTTAAAAAGATATACCCATAAAATGTTTTTAAATGATCATACTAATGAAAACTACAATAAATTTTCTCGACTTAGGGCACAGTGTAAGGGGTTGTCTATCGCTAGTCGAACAAACTATTTGAAAAAAGCTTATGGAACCTTGTAAAGTAAATCCAAAGTTATTCTGCAAATATGTGAGTGATCAAGAAAAATTTCACAGTTTACCTTCTAGGATGATGTATTTGAATGAATACAAAGTATATTTGAAATCAAATTCTAACTCTGATGCTTTCTTAACTTATTGAATCTTAGTTTTCTCAAAGTAGCTCAAAATATGTCTTTACCAATCTACATATTTTTATATGAAAATTCTCTTCAATGTTCGACGTGATGGTATTTCCCTATATTGTCATTTAATTGCGTATTATGCATTCAGGAAACCGATGCTGGGAAAATATGAAAAAGGGAATGATTCTTATATAAAAAAAAACCCAACACCAATACATTACTGATTCAATTTTTTTGATGCCAAATAGTTATTTGTTTTACTAGGCAGAAAAGTACAAGATTTAATGCCGCGGCTGGTGTTTCATAGCCGAGGCATAGCCGAGGCTAGGAAACCAGCCAAGGCATTAAATCTGCTTTTCTGCCATATAAAACATATAATTTTTTCTCCGAATGTTCAAATTCACACAGGGACATCTTTTTTATATCTATTTCATTCATTATAATTATCCAAATAATTAAATTATTTTGACAATTGTCATTGTCACCATCAATTTCAAATACCAAATTGAGTGAAATTATTACCTGGAACGTTGTGACAATGTCACTTTTAATGCCTAGGCAGTAAAAGTCCACTTTTACTGCCTAGGCAGTAAAAATACAACTTTTGATCCTGTCAAGTGTCATTAAAAGGCCGCTTTTACTGTCATTCGGAGAAAAATTATATTAAAACTACAATTTCTTCTTAAACGAGTTTCACTTTTATTAAATTTGTCGTTAAATAGAATATTTCAATATAAAAAGTCGTCTGTATCCTCATGTTGGACGTTAAAAACTGATGCTGCAAAGTGTCCACTCTTTCTCTGGCCATTCTATCAAACGGATAACATATAGAACGACAGTCTGGATATTGCTGGATACAATAGGGCAATCCAACGACCTGTCAAAATGGAGGTCAATGCCTTTTTATTTAAAAAAAATGCCGTTTTATTAGGATTTTTGATTTGTATAAAGTCTGTAAAGTGTTGATTTTTTGGAAAATGCATACTTACATTATGTATTGTATCTACTTAGTTGTGGGAACCGTTCTAATCGCGAGAAAGTCTAGTTTCATGCCGTTCCTGCAGAGACAAAACACAGGTTTTTAACGGAAAAAAATGATTTGTCTGTACTTTGAGAGGGCTTCATGGATTGTAGCAAAAGAGAAAAAATCTTACGAAATCCATATTAAAAAACCAAAAAGTCTCTCTACATAAATGGTGTATGGATCCCAGCCATTCAGATATACTATCCTCCCTCCACATCAGCTTGTGTCGATACCTTGAATACCAAACAAATAAAATTAACATCAGGATTCAGGATTTGGTTAAGAAAAAACTAAACAGGAAACAAATCCTGGATAGTACCTACTTAGTAGTAGGTAAAGGTTTATCACAAAGAAATCATAACTTTTGCAAACATCCGGGTTTTCCACTAATAATTTCTTGAACTAAAAACTTTCCATCTTAAAATAATAAAATTATCCTTCCAAACACTAGAAAATCATCTAAAAACACCACAAAATACACAAAAAACAGTTTTTTGATGAAAAATGTCACGGTTGTTTGAATTAAATTTATGGCGCCAATTTTTTGGCATTGACCATGCATTGACCGCCATTTTGTTTGGATTGCCGTATTGTCTTCGATACCGCAATGCGAATCAGTATGATCAGTATCGTTGCATTGTCCTGACGCGTCTTGGTTAATCTGGAAAAGCGAAAGTTAATTTATTAAACCAAGGAAAAATTCACTCAATCTGTCATCTTCGATACCTATAATTCGATATCATAACGAATAGTTCGGAGGCGAATCCTTCAGGGCTTCCCTTTGGGGTTTAAGAGATTATCGGGCCAGCCGCAACCACAAAAGTTAAATTGGGCCAATTGATCTTCCGCTTGAGGACGAGAAGTATCCAAGTCCCTGTAAGTCCTTCCGAAGGGAATTGTAACTGAAGAATCAGCCGAACTATGAATAATTATGTTTTGTCCTTGTTTCAGTGCACTTACGCATAATCTTAAACTTGTCCAATTTGATAAACAAAACATGTTTTTTTGATCACAACATAGCCAAGGATTCTTTTTTTCGGTCTCAAGGAGTAGAGCTCCCCGATAGAACGAATATTTTGTCCTTGTCGACGTAATCGAAAAGTAAACGAGAATGATAAAGACGAAAAATTTGTTCTCTCGGGGAGCTCTACTCTCTGAGACGAGAATTCGACCTCGACCCTAGAAAGTTTGTAGAACATTAGGCTGTCCGCCTTGGACTTCTACGTTTACACTTTGAACTGTCACTCCGGGTCCTCCGGGATGCGGTTCAGCTGAAATTCAGTAAAAAATTTGAATATGTATTGGTAGATCGATTGTAAACTGCTCACCTGGTTTTCATTAAAACTTGGTAAAAATCTTTTGTATTCCTGAAACAAACCGTCAATATATCCGTAACAGCAACAGAAGATTGGATCTTTCATTGCAGTAGCCGAGTCCCCGATGGTACTAAATGATTTCTATAAATATAGTTTTATTGCATTACATAAATAATAGTGATGAGTGATAATATCTTTTGGGAAAAACCATCAAACTTGATGACAACTCCAAAGAAGAAGCAGAAGAAAAATAGGAAAGAGAAAATTTAAATTGAAGTATTGAAGGTTGAAGAAAAAACAACAGTTTCACTTAACAAATGCCTATGGTCAGGGTCGTGTAATCGTGACTGTAACCAATCAAAATATGTCCAGAATTATGTAGATTGCCATAGTATCACAGATTACTTACATACAGATGCGAAAGAGCGGCGAGTTCGTGGTTCAAGATTAATTTGATAGACATAGGCTGGCCGCACCAATGCCACATCAATGTATTTTGAACATATTTATTATATAAATGCGGAAGCTCAATAATATAATATTATTTCTTTAATTGGTTCACAAACAGCAAAAAAATATTTTTTTCTACCCGCAAGAATATGTAAACACACAGGCTGGAACATGCTCACGCACTCGGCCACGTTAATTGTCCTGACGCGGGCGATCTTTATCGATGCGTGGGGCCGCTGGCGGCCCGGCTTCGTCACAGAATATCGTCGACAGCAAGTATAAGGTTCGTTTCACCAGGGTTCATACTTGACCTTGAAACTTGAAAAAAAAAAAGTTTGTCGTAGATTAATTCATATGACACATTCAATTTTTTTGACAAATTGAAATGAATGACTTCTGGTTTAAGAACTGAAAAAAGTTTTTGACGTCATTGATTTGTTTCAGTCAATTTTTATTTGTTAAACAAGGAAGGAAAATGCTGGTGGCAAGTACAAACCCTGGTGAAACAAACTTTACGTACTTACGCATCTGTATTAGGTGATCTGTGATAGTATACTGCTGGATTCTATCATGTACGTCGATGCCTTCCATTTCGGTCAGCTTCATTTCTCCACCATTTGCCTGCAAAACGTAAATATAATATGGATTCTAATACTCGGATGTTTTTGAGAAAAATTCTTAGCGAGCAAGATCATCTTATTATCTATTTGTAGCTGGATAATTTTTTTGCTAATCTTGATTCTACAGGGTACTACAAATTCGAAAGGTGACAAAGTTGACAGAGAAGCGAGTTAAACATGAAAAAGTTAAGCTCGAAGCTCCTAAATCGTATTTTAAATTTGATCGGAAGCTTCCTAAAAATGTAGAGTTTCAGCCGATAGCGGTTATTGCCCAAACAAGTAAGAATTTGAAAAGTGATGATAAGGATGTATTTTATGAACCATTGAAAGAAGATCTCCAGAAATCAATTCACGAAAGATCGGCAGCATATGAAGATTTTTTAGATCAGTACCTACCCCAAAGTAGCTCTAAAATCGTACCGTTTTGGACAAAAATGGACACAATGTGGAGAAAGAGACCTATAAGACATAATTCAAAGAAATCGGTTCAAATACAAAAAAGTTATAGCCAATTTAATGAAGCGGTGTCAAATCGCCACAAAATGGTAAAAATCCATGAGAAATCGAAAAATTAAGGGAAAAAAATTGGTTTTTGGACCTTTTGAGACCCCCTCTACAATATGGCCCTATACCTTTAACACAGGAAACTCTGAAAATGACGAAAATTGAAGCTTCAACCGGCCATAACTCTGTAACGGTGAGTCGTGGAGAAAAATTCGCCAGATTGTAGAACTTGTTGAGATCCACAAAAAATCTCATCGAGTCTTACCTCTCCGACTTACCATTTCCGAGATATTTCAGTTGCAAGTTTTAAAATTATTGGGTCAGAAAATCCAAGTCAAAATTTTCCGGATTTTCTTTCACTGCGTCATAGAAGAGGGGCAAAGAAATGTCGGAACCCACTTTTCCGTCCTTAATTTCCCGTTTTCCCTTTCGTATAGGTACCCCATAAAATGGAAAATCGAAATTTTCCGAATTTTGGAAAAGCAATTTCACTGTATAGAGGAGGTCAAAACAAGCAAAAAAGCTATTTGACATTTTCCCATAGGACGTCTCTTAAGCCCGGAAAAAAATTTAAGAAATTAATAGGGATGAGGCTTTCCTAACCTGACATGGTCTTATTGAATGGGCCATAACTCTGGAACGCCTAAATCGATTTAAATGAATCATGTTTCATTCGATGAAGGATTAAATTTCCCACAGAATGGTTTTATCCAAAATTCTCAGAATTGTTCCGTTCTTAAGTTATGAGCCTTCAAAATTTAAATTTTCTCAAAAATTAGCCATAGCTTTGTTTCAGGTGGAGCTTCAACTTCCAGGACAACTCCTAGTGCCCTTTTGTCCATTTATCATTGTTAGTTATGGAAAAAAAATAAACAATAGAACGTTTTTTTTTTTTTTAATTAATTATTTTCCTCCCCAATAATACAGTGAATTTAGGCAGTGACATGTTTATAAAAACAGATTTCCTAGAAAATTTCAATTTTGAAGGCTGATAGCGCAAAAACTGGACAACAATCAGCAACTATTTTGTGTCTTAATGGCCCTTTGGTATCTTCCAAACTCCATACACTAAATTATTCTGAGATTTGGAGACGGAATCTATAAAAAAATGCACTCAGAAAAATTGAAAAACTGATAAATCACCCCAAATTGCTTAACAAGATTTTTTCTCAGGAACTATAACTGCAAATGAGCTGAAATTTTCAGGGATTGTAGTCCCTTTATTGAGATGAGATTCAGTAACAATTTCAGCTTTCTATCTGTAATAGAGAAAAAGTTATGACCTTTCAAAGTTTTCCAAAATCTAAATCATAAAGTAGGTACCTTCTTACTAAAACGATGAAATTTCAATTTTTTTTTGTTGAGATTTTGTAGCCTAATGGTTATTCAACATCCGCCAAACTTCATACACTAAATTATTCACAGATTTGAAGCCGAATTCTATGAAAAAAGGCACTCAGAAAAATTGAAAAATTTATAAGTCACGCCAAATTGCTTAACACGATTTTATCTAAGGAACTATAAGCGCAAATGAACTGAAATTTTCAGGGATTGTAGTTCTTTAAAAGGGATAAAATTCAGTGAAAGTTTCAGCTTTCTATCTATAATAGAAAAAAAGGTATGACCTTTGAAAGTTTTCCAAAATCTAAATCATAAGGTAGGTAGCTTCTTACTCAAACGATGAAATTTCAATTTTTTGTTTGTTGAGATTTTGTAGCCTAATGGTTAATCAACATCCGCCAAACTTCATACACTAAATTATTCTCAGATTTGAAGCCGAAATCTATGGAAAAAAGCACTCAGAAAAATTGAAAAATTGATAAATCACCCCAAATTGCTTAACAAGATTTTATCTCAGGAACTATAAGTGAAAATGGGCTGAAATTTTCAGGGATTGTAGTCCCTTTATTGAGATGAGATTCAGGGAAACTTTCAGCTTTCTATCTGTAATAGAAAAAAAGTTATGACCTTTCAAAGTTTTCCAAGATCTAAATCATAAGGTAGGTACCTTCTGCCCCCCCAAACGACGCCCATGTACTAAAACGATGAAATTTCAATTTTTTTTTGTTGAGATTTTGTAGCCTAATGGTCAATTAACATCCCCTAAACTCCATACACTAAATAATTCTCAGATTTGAAGCCGAAATCTATGAAAAAAGGCACTCAGAAAAATTGAAAAATTGATAAATCACCCCAAATTGCTTAACACGATTTTATTTCTGGAATTGTAAGTCCAAATTCGCTGAAATTTCCAGGGATTGTAGTCCTCTACTGGAATAAGAATCGCTGAAAATTTCAGCTTTCTATCTGTAATAGAAAACAGGTTATGATATTTCAAAGTTTTTCAAAATCTAAATCATAAGGTACTACGCCGTACTAAAACGATGCAATTTCAAAAATTTTTTTGTTAAGATTTTGTGTCTTGCTGGTTCTTTAGGACCCCCAAACTCCATACACTGAACTATTCTAAGATTTTGAGCCAGATTCTATGAGAAAAGACAATGATTTTTTGACCGAAAAAGAAAAATGTAAATATAGGTGAAATATTTCGAAAATGGTAAGTCGGAGAGATGAGACTCGAGGAGTTTTTTTGTAGATCTCGACAAGTTCTACAATCTTTCTGTGAAGAGTTTTCCTCTACGACTTACTGTTACCGAGTTATGGCCGGTTGAAGTTCCGATTTTCGTTATTTTCAGAGTTTCTCGTGTTAAAGGTATAGGGCCAAAAACCAAAGTCAAAATTTCGAAACTTCAAGATAGCCATTTTTTAGAGAGGATCCCAAAAAATCTCAAAACCAAAAAATTGCGTGGCTTTGCTCCAAAAAATAGACGAAATATATTGACAGAATGTGAGTTCTTGACCTCGAAATCTTAAGGTTTCCTGAAATCATTCTTATATGAATCTAGAGAATACTGAATGATTATTATGAATTATCCATTGCGAGTTTAATGTCTTTTTGATACGTTCTAAACCTATTAATTGTGGAATGTGAAAACAAACAAGGTCCATTCAACTACCAATAATAATCAATATTTGAATATCAAAGTTTGGCTTAACAAGCAATGTCGTTTTACTAGAATCTCTTTGACATAAACAATTATTAAGATTTATCAAAGTATCAACCAAATTCAGTTCCAGAAAAGTCCAATTTGGCTGATGACCATTCAAATACACTATAGTAAGGAATTGCTCTTTCAGATTGGCTATATTTTTACATTGAAACTTTTCTGCAGGAAATTAAACCATCTATCATTAAGGATTTCTATTTCAACTGGCAAGATTTGAAATAACTTACAGTCTTAACAGATCCAGAATGTATAGCTTCATAAATCCTATTCTCCTATCTTTTCATGTCGGCCAAGTCAAGTTCAACTGCATCGACTTTCCTGTTTATGTCTCGCATTTTTTGATTGTTGGCAAAGATGGTCAAGATCTGCTAGCTACGAGAC